AAGGATTTGAGGTAATCTAATTAAAAAGTATGTATATATGTGCATATATTCATTTAGTTCATCAAATAGTAACCTGAAAGTAGAAAGATTAAAACCCTACCAAGAGAAGGGGAGAACTCTTTTATAACTAAGCTTCATTTTACTAGAACGTTAAATTGGCCTTTCTTTTTAATAGTAATCACCAAGGAATTTAGCCACTTTTTATTTACAACTTGTTAAAAATGTCAAAGATTAGAAATGCAGATAAGTAAAAAAGGGCTGAGGAGATAGTTCCACTGGAAAAGCACTTGCTACACAAGCTTGAGGACCTGATCTGGATCCTCAGAGCCCATGTAACAGACACATAGCATGCATTTATAATCCCAGTATATGTTGGGCAAGATGGGAGGTGGAGACAGGAGAATCCACATGTGCTCGCGGGCCAGCTAGTACGCTATCTGGCATGTGTGGCAGCAAAAGAGACCCTGAGGTTGTCCTCTGACCTCCACATGCACACTGAAGCGTGCACATACCCACACTCACACAGACACACACATACATATATATCATAACATAAAACATTTTTAAATAAAGCAAAGATCATATTTTAGAATATTTTCAATCTTTTTCTAGATCTATACACAGACATTACATGTTAATGAATGACATAATCTTATTTTGCAAATTTCTTTTTCACTTAAAATTAGTGTATATCATAAACCTCTTTACATGTGAACAAATGGCAGCAAAGTATTCTGTAAGTGAATCTTAATTTATATAGCTAAGCTGATTGTTCAACTTTTGTTTCTAACTTTTTGCTACTATAAAAATGAAAATCACAACTTATCTATTTGTGTATATTATTATTTCTTTCTAATAAATTCCTAGAAAAGGAATTGTCATCTCCAAAGGTATAAACACTTTAAAATATAACATTGATTTGTAAGATTTATAAGTGGTATATATTAATTTCATTGAATCAAGCTATTTAAACATTATTTGTTAACACTTATCATTTTGAAAAAATGCAAAATATGAGCGAAATAATCAATGAATCATCACAATGCTACTATGATCTTTTACCATCCTCTCTAAATACAAAGCCAAATGTACCAGATGCTTATATGGGTGATTATTTCAGAAGACCATTGCCTAATCAAGGTTTAGGTGAGTAAAACAGGAACAGACAGAAATGTGTGGTCATCTCAATATAAGCAATATTAATAACGCTGTCAAAGTCTACATATTAAAAATTAGAACATTATCTTAAAATTGGTTTGTCAACCAACAGTTCACCTTTACAGATATTTTGAAGCTTAAATTTTTGTTTCTCTCTAGCTCTGAAAAGGCAAAGGGAAAACCAACAGAAATTCCTTATGTGCAAACTTGTTTTTAAAGCTTTTATTAATTCAATTTATTCTTTGACAATTTCATGCATGTATATGATGCATTCTAATAATGCTCATTTCCCACCATGTCTTATCTCCCTTCCACCCTGCCAGTCCCCCCTCTTCCCTACAAGTCCTCTTCCTACATTCATGTCTTTTTGTTTTGTTTTATGACCCGCTAAGTTTAACCAGGACTGTCTGTGTGAACATGGATTTGGAACTCTCCATTGGCACTCGGTGGGTATACAACGAGGACAATGACCCCGTTTCCCAAAATCTCTCTGTAACCAATAGTTCAGCAGGGAAGAGTAGGGCCCCTGAGACACTTACCCTTGCCATAATTGATTGTTGACATGAATATATTTTTAATAATTTTATATGACCAAAAACCCAGAATATTTTATCTCATTCTCTAATCTTTTCATTCCCAGCTCATCAAATCTTAAAAGGAAAATTTTTGAGAGTATATAGTCTTGGCTCTTATTCATTACAGGATCCAGATTCATCAGACAACCTTTTACTGCAATTAGTAACAAGTAGTTTACTAAATTGCAATATAGTTCATTCCCTTGCCAAAGAGCTTCAGCAAGGAAGCAATTATTGTGAAGCAGTCAAGGCTCTTTCCAGCAAGGCATCACTCTGAATAGTGGGACTGAAGTGAAGCTTCTGTGTGCTGCAATACAGGGCATTGACAGTTTGTCTTTACCTCACCTATGAATTAACTACAATTCTCTGTATCGAGCTAGAGCTAGTTGACTTGTAATGTTATGACTATTGGGTCCACATCTTCTAGGAGTTCATATAATGAAAAGAGAATGAGTACAATGCCAATGCCATCTTGACCCACACAACACTAGAGAGAATGTTAAATGACTATACTCTAAGCAAAAAAATAGAGTCTGTCAATGGGGAAAGTGCTTGCCACACACGCATGAGAACCACAGTTTGGATCCCCAGCACTCATAAATGCCAGGTGGGTGTCGTGGTCTACTTGTAATCCCAGTGCTCTTGGGGCAGGGAGCAATTGAGGAGGATACCTGGCATCAACCTCTCATTTCCACAAAAACCCACATACTTGCCAAAGCACCTACAGGCACGTGCTTCCATGTACATGCAAACATGCATACACACACGCACACACGCATGCACACACAGACAGAATAGAGGACAATGTACAGCATGCAGAAAATAATTTGAGATTGTCAAGGAAGAAAAAGTGGAATAGTATTGGTTTGAGACACTTAAAATGGTCTAGGGTGAGAGTTAAATCTGGCCTCACACACATCCACAGCTGAACCTTTGAACTGCGATCAAACACATCTACTCCTGGAGGAAGCTGATCTTTGGACCTGGCACACTCCAGATTCCTAAAACATTGTTTATTAACTTCTACTGACCTTTTGTAAGATGGAACCCCTTCCCCCAAACTACCCAGAGAGTGAGACATACCCAATATACTTTTTATGAGACATGTTAACTTTGCTAGCACCTATTAGAATCCCAGAACAAGTCATTTCACACTCCTCTTGCAGTTGAAAACTATAAATACAGCCACCATCTTGTAGAAGCCTAGAGCACACATTGGCTTGAATAAACCCTTTGTTCTCACATTCAGTGTCTCCATTTGCCTGTTAAGTTGACACGGGCATCATAAAGGAAAAGAGACAAAAGCATGTACAGAGACTAACTCTCATGAATCCAGGATGAGACAAACAAGAACTAAATCAACTGAAGTCATTGTTCTCATTCTCCCAAAACAATGCTTAGTCAAAAACAGTAGCTGATAAATTTGCCTAGCGCCACATGCATGATCCATGGGTCTCTTACATGCAGAATTTGAGACCAGTCTGAGCTACATGAGACCGTGCCTTAAAAAAGGGAGTTACACAATCTCAGAAAAAAAATCGACAAATATTCTCCCTCATATGTGGATCCTAGGATCAGACTCTGATAAATAAGTATGCAAACAGACATTACTCCAGGAACCAGGACAAGGGTAAGGAAACAGTGAGGTAAAGGAAAAGAAATAACCTGAAGGAGAAGAATAGTAGGCAACAGACC